AAGCTGAACTCTCTGGTGACAGAGAAGAGGACTATGGACAAACTACTGGACATTATGGACAATGCCAGTCACCCTCTTCATCTTTACCAACCAGAAGAGCCTGTTTAGTGACAAACAGAGGAAGGCTAACACAAGGACAGAGGATGAGAAGGAGCAGTAATAGTAGTAGTATTAAAGTGCACATGTCCATAGCTTTATATCTTACTTTTTCTATGTATGCACATTATACATGTGCAAATTACACCTGACATGCACCTTTAAACTGTGAATTACGAGCAAAAAACAGGGATGACTGAATCTTGCTAACACAACTGAGAAGCAGAAATTAAAATCAGAAAATCATAAGAAACCCAAGAAGTCTTAGGACAATCTTTTCCAATGATTTGTCAATGGTACAGTTCAACTACCAAAGTAAGAATGACTGCACTTTATTATAACATACCAACAAAATGCAACAGCTTGATGTAAAAACTTATGTAAAAAAAGTAAAACTTGCCTGGATTATGGTGAAACTTTTCCTCTTACATGCTGAAAATGTAGTGCTTTTCAGCCCGGGTGCAAAAAGCTCCCCTCTATCCAGACCTATGGGAAGAGTCATTAACATTTACACATCATTAACCCATCATGGAAGTGCTGTATGAATAACAGAAACATTGCAAGCCATTATCATACATCACGCCCTGCACACAGCATGGCACATCTCTGCTGCGGAGGGGAAATCTCCATTAATACCTACAGAAGCTTGAAACCCGAGGACAGAGGTTAGAGAAAATGATGGTGTCTTATGTCTGCTTTATGCCTGCAATATCATACTGGCCTGAAAAATGACTGCGGCCCTGAGGGAGATCCCCAAAGAAGCCAGGCAGCGTGTGAGACACTCTGCTGGGAGAACTCCATCCCCTGAGGCCCAGTAAACAGGAGATCATAAGCATTCAGGATTCACATAATAACCACAAATGATCGCATAAGCCAGACAAGACTGAGGACTGAGGAGCAGACTAGGGGGCTGTCAGTGCGGTGCATTAAGTCAGAGCAATGACAACTAATTATTTAAATGCTGAAAAGAACAACAAGCTTAACACAATGCTGCAGAACATGATCCTCTTTTAATTGGAGAATTTTAGGGTAAACGTTATAACTGCAAATTAGTCTGTTATACACACTTATGGAAACAAATGGCTGGACTGGATGTTATGATATAGAGCACACAGAGTGAACTCTATGAAGAGCTCTATGTTACACTGCAAATGGTGTTTTATTTTATAAACAGTTATCTGCAGTAAGTATTGATTGGCACTTTTTTTTATTCAGGAATAATCTAAGTATGGTGCTTCAGGAAAGGGCTGTAGTACCGCTGCTGACATGACGAAACCCTCGCCCCAAATTGCCTCATAATACGTCTCTGTCGTCATTAGCCAATACTGTTTATCCTGTAACCTAATAACATCTAACACGTGTTAACTGTTGTCCAATCACAGCCCCCCTTCACATGCATGCAGCACCAAAATCACCACATCTCATTGATATACATTTCATTCATGGATTGTGTTGTTTGACCTTTGGCGATTCAGTGTGAATAAAAATAAGGGGGAAAAAAACTGCGACAAAGGAAAGACTTGGCATTAAACTATGGAAAAGAGGAGCGATGAAGATGTGGGAAGAGTTGGTCAGCAGTGACTCAACCTCATGCACTCAGCCTGATGCTCTTGCTACCATATGAGATTCAGCAACTCACAGAAGTGAGCATTTTGTAGCATGCTGCAACAGAAATGCACAATAAGGGCACACTTACAAAAACTGCAAAAACAATCCTCACAGCCTGAAGGGATGCTATTTTCCATAAGTACCCATTCACTATGCAGTATCCTGTGCATTACCCAGCCTCCAGCTAAAGTCCTAAATACATTAGCACTTCATGTTGATTTTAAGATTTAAAAATGATGTGTTCAGAAAAAAAAGCCTCTCTGATTCCATGGTTGGGAGTGCTACCATGGCAAGAGTTTCTGACCTTCTGCAGTTTAAAAAAAACCATCAAGCTTAACATTTCAATTCACGACCAACATAGATTAAGTCTGTAGCTTATTTTTCTTTAATTTTGCAAAGTCATTTTTGAAATAGTGTCCACTGGCCATCAAGCTTATTTTCTTTAGCTATCTGCATATTTCATTATTTCAGCGGGCCCAAAGACATCTGGTATGAGATATGATATTGATTTAAAACTTTAATTTCTGAATTAAACTTTTGCTTTTCTTTTGTTTTGCCACTGTGAAAGATGTGTGGTGCCCCTACCAATGAGTGCATGAATGTCATATTTTAAGCTTATTATCAAATATGAATCTTAAAACATTTATTATAAATTCAAATCACCACATGGATTAGCCTACATAATGATGATAGTTGATTATTTTTGAGGTTACTGTATGCATACTGTACTGTTTAGAATAATGAAACTCCCTGGCTGACCCACTATGGTGGTATCTCTCATGTCCATGTGAGGCACACTCACTGTGGAGAACTCCAATATCCTCTCAGGAAAATTACACTCTGGGACAAAATAAGAATTCTCCCTGCAATAAGTCACCATTAGTATCTGTCAGCTGAGACGCTGTGTGCAGCTCTGGAATACATTAACATCATGAGAGGGGAGTGTTATCCACTGCCTGTTACCAACCACGCTCGCTCAGCTGTGGGAATCCAGTATTAGCATGTACTAACAGGCTGGGGGGGAAGATTCATCAGGAATGCACAGCTCTCAGACTGAACTGTTCCGTCTCTTTCGCAGAGGATGCATGTAAGGCAAAGTGACTCTTAAAATGCTTCCTGTCTGATGAGTTTGGCATCACTACTAAATATTAAGTGTTCTGAGTCAAAACTGCACATTTAGCATGAATTCCTGTCAGATTTTTTTTTCCAGATTAAACAAAAATGAGAGTACCTGTGTTATCGGCTTTGTATGTCTTTAAGTCATGTGTTAGTGTACTTTTGGACCTTTCACAAAGTGCTATTAAATCATGGCTAGATCTTTTCAATGGGACCATAACATTGTTTCTTCAAGAGCCTTTATCAATGAGAAACCACTTGTCCTTGTTGTAACAGAGCAAGAATTTCAGCTCTTCAGACCAAAGCCCTGAAAGCAGACTCTCTGAGCATTTTGCTTTATCCTAGCCTGGCATCAAAGGTGTGGACCACAAACCTACAAAGCATGGACAAAACAATAGCCATGCTATATAGAGTAATTATTATGAGAGTTCCTATATAGGAACTTGCTGCAATTTTAAGTGTAAGGCCCCCCCTTTTAGAACAGACAGCCATGGTTACAATCAGAAAACCTGAGCACTCCTCAGAGACATTTTTCTCAAACACATCCCCTGTTATGCCTGTTTGCTCTTTCCATGCTGATTTATGTCCAAAGGGTCATTTTTCCATTGAATTAAAGTTTTAATGAGTCATTTCATTGTGAAAAGTGTCGTATCGTGATTGACATCTCCTGCAGCTTTCTTTATTGCATTATATCAGAGAAAACTTTCCAAACATTAAAATAAGGGTCATTAAACTTTCTGTGCACATGAGGGTCTGCTTCAAATCAACAAAAAGACTCTGTTCCTGCTGCAGATGGTACAGATCTAAAGTGTCTCTGCTGGTTGAAGTTAAATTTGTGCCTTGGTTAGTAATAATAATAATAATGCATCAGATTTCATATAGCGCTTTATCAGAGACCCTCAAAGCGCTTTACATTGGATACATCATTCATTCGCTCACACAGTCACACTTTGGTGGTGGTGGAAACGTGGCTGCCATTCTGCGCCTACGGCCTCTCCGACCACCACCACACAACACTCACAATCATACACCAGTGGAGGACACACACTGGGAGCAAGGTGGGTTAAGTGTCTTGCCCAAGGACACAACGGACAGACTTGGATTAGGGGGGAATCGAACCGCCAACCTTCCGGTTATTGGACGACCACTCTACCTCCTGAGCTACTGCCACCCTTAGTGCAAAGGGTCAGTCTCCGCCAGGTCACTCTTGCCAATGCTCTGGCTCCACCAGCCCAGTGTGTCATTACCTATTAAATCTTGATTTATGGGTTAACCTGTGGACAAGCCGACATTGGCAAAACAAATGAGTCATGGGCTATATTTATGTGCCTCAAAACCTTGCTGTGCAGGTTCTGCCCAAATGAACTCAAGCTGTGAACCTGAAAATAGAGAGCTGGTTCAGTTGAACTCTGTCCAAAGGCTGGATTGCAGGGGTCTGCAGAAGTTTGACCTGGCCAGTAGCCTTGCTGTAAAGGTCTGGTTCGAATGAACCCAGACAAAATGTCTTGCAATTATCTCAGAGACACTTTTTCAAATAGAGCAGAGTTTGGCCAGACTAGAAATAGCCAACACTCAATGACACTGGTGAGAAAAACTCCTTTTAATAAGCAGAAACCTGGACCAGGACCAAGCTCAGGGTAAATGGCTCTTCTTGAATCTTTCAGTTTCCCACAGAGTTCCAAGTTCATATTTAGAGTAATGAGAAAACAGTGGTAACCAAGATACAAGCAATGATAATGATAACACCTCTAACGCAGCAGAGGGAGGGTTGTTAAACAGAGACAGAGAGGTGGTTGGTGGCTTGGTTACACCTGGCTTATTTATGGTTTTGTACATAGTTTTATAAATAACCTTTTTAGACAACCAGAATTGAGGTAAGTAAAGTACAGTTAAAAAATGTTAAACAAGAAAAAGAAAAAGAGAATGAATGAATGGAAATGTGAAATAAGGGGATTTCAGGAACAACAAAAAGAGTAAAAAAATAAAAACAGAAGCTCCAGTCTAAACTTAAAAACACCTATACAGGAGGACGCTTAATTATAAGGTAAACTATTCTAGCGCTTTAAGGTGGAAATGACAAAGCTACAGCCTTCCCTTTAAACACTGACAGAGTCATCCAGAAAAAGCTGGTCAGAAGATGATATGATATGAGAGCTAAAAGAGATGGAGAAGCTCATAGATGCACTCGGGGTGAGGCCAAAGCAAACAAAAGAACCTCCAACGAAATAGTGGAAGCCAGTGTAGTTTCACATAAGCAGAGGAGATGCTCTCTCTTCATGGTTTTAGTTTACTGTGTTGCTGCAGTATTCTGAACTATCTGCAAACATTACCCAGGAGGAGTGGCTGATGCCCTGATAGAGAGCATTACAGAAGTCCTGTTGGGAAAGAAAATAGGAAAGCAGAGCGAACACTTTGAACTTGGTTATGTGCCATTGGTGACGTAAGATTTCAACAACAGGAGTAATAAGTCCAGTTAGTCCAATTGTTTCAACATAGGATCAAAGACATGAGGTGCCAAGGACATTTGGTAATGAACTATTTTTCCGTGAGGCTTTAGGGGGACCGAGCAAAATCAGCTCACTTTCACTGCCATTAAGTTCTAGGGGGTTGTTTTCCACTAACTGTTTGAGGCACTCCAGAGACTGACCTGAGGTTTTGATGCGGCCACAGGGGTTTCATAAGAGGTATATCAGAGTGTCATCTGCATAATGGTATGGAAATGAAAATGAGATCTAAAGGGACCATATACAGAGCAAACAATACAAGCCCCAATATGGAGCCCTGGGGAACTCCAAAAGTGATAGATGCAGATGCAGAGGAGTTGCCACCACGTTAGACAGAAAATGATCTCAATAAACAAGGATGCTAGAGAGCACTACCAAGGACACTAACGTGATGTTCAAGATGGAGGATGGAATGGTTTACCATGTCAGAAGCAGAGGTGAAATCCAACAAGATTAACACAGAAGGGGGCTGTTACAGACTTAAAGCAGAGCTCTGTGCTATAAATCAGCTGATCCCAGGACTTATTTATTTCCTTTAAACATGATGTATATTCTTTGTGGGATTTGTGGGAACTGTTCATATTATCTTAATTGCATGGGATAAAGCTTAAGGCACTCCTTTCTCTCTTATCTCTGAGAAATTTGATTTGTGTGCGTTAAAGTAAAAGGAAAACACCCTTAAGTATGAGGGTTGCAAAGCTATCACATTTAATTGCGAAACGGAAAATCATCCTGAAAGAAAATGAAGCATGCCATAGTTAACAAGTGGCTGTATCTGTGCAGCAAGAGGAACATTCTCATTATCATGAATAATAACGTGGTGGGAGTCTTGACAGAACAAAATAATACAACACCTTGAAATAGGGTGATTAAAATGAGGAAGAGTCTGCAGGAATGACTGGCCATTAGTAAGGAGCCGTGGTCAGTCAGAGAGGGAGATATGTGGATGATTTACCACGGCTCTGCAGGTTAGTTAAAGCTATGATCCAGCTCAGGCTGAAATAATAAATGCTGTGGTGTTGCACCTCATTTGCAGAATGGGTTATGCAGATTGAGACTAGGAACACATTTAGGATTGAAGACAGAGTCAAAAAAAGAAAAGTAAGTTACAGGAAGTCGTTATTAGGAAAAGCAGAGAAATAAATGGAAGCTAACAACTGGGTTAGTGGTGGGGGCTCAACGTTCATGTGTGGGCAGAAAGAGAAAGCGTAAGTGCAAATTGAAAAACCGGCTCTAGTTTTAGTCGTGAGGAAATGCAGAAAAGCAATTCCATTGTCAGGCTGGCTGTAAATTAGAATAAGAAATTTACTTTGTACACAGTGACCCTTTAGTCGCTTTGGGAAACGGTTGGACCAAACACAATCAGAGGAGACATGGAATTGGTTAGACTGCTGACAGATGTAGGGAGACTTTCTCTGATTACTTTTATTCCCTTTAGAGTTGTTTGCAGTCAGACTAAACTCTGAATAACTGAAATCATTAATAACATACTGTCATGCTTTGGGTTGATGTGTTGTTCTGATTTGTCTGTCCCAATGCGTTTTGTGTAACTTTATGTTTTGTATCTATTCTTCTTCAAAAGTACTTCTGGGTAAGGTTGTCACAGCTGTTTCCTGGACTAAGAATTGTTAAAGTCACTTAAGAGTATTTCACAACTGCTGCTGCATTGACTGAGGCGCAATTTCTATGAGATGTGTATCTCTTTCTAGCATCATCTATTACCACAACACTGTCAGCTACCCCTGTGGCACTGTTGTAGTACTCGAGTCCAGGGCTCGGACTCGACTCGGACTTGAGTGCTGGCTGCATTGGGACTCAGAGGAGGACTGGGCTTATTTATCAATGACTGCTTTGTGATTTTTTTATTTTCTCTTCTGGTATAAGGTCCAAATAACAGATCAGTCTTGTGCCTATGGCTAGCATGTGTGTTTGTTTACCTGCATGCATGTTCACGTGCCGTCTCATTCAGCAATAGTGCACAGCAAGATGTCGAAGGATGCGCCATGGGTTGCGCAGTTTGCTTCAAAGATATTTTTTTCCGGCAAATGTAGAGCAATGCGTTCATTGTGTAAAAGAACCATGGAAGGGAAGATGGGGACAACATTGAACTTTCACAGACATCTGTCAAGGATGCACTGAGAAGTGAGTAGATCGTCAAGCTAATGTTACTCTGCTGATTAAGTTGTCATACGCTAGCTGCTAAATAATAACTACATTAGCCTCTTAAGTTACTTAAACAATGGCTCCACGATGTTTGGTTAAGTCAGATGTGATATGTTTTAACTAAGTTAAAGCAACTTAAAGTATGCATTCAACTGAACCTGGACTCAACTCAGAGGAAGAGAATTCAAGTCAGATTTTTTTTTTTGGTGACTCTGACGCGACTCGGACGAATAGGATGAGGTGTATCAGCTGTGACTCAAACTATCACAAACACAGTTCAGTCAGGATCACTTTAATCAAAATTAGTTATTTATTACAAGCAAACATTTTTACTTTGGCGGTATGGCTCTGCTCTGAGGGTTCCCTGCCCTGTTCCCTGAGCTCCTCCCCTCCCTTTCATGTGCATACATGAGGAGCCAGGCAGAGAAGCAGCAAATAAATTCGATTAAAATAAATAAATAAAAATCCCCGCACAGAACAGAGCAAGCATCAGTGACAATACATATGACACTGGTAAGATCAGACACAACATAAACAGGAGGAGTTGGGGTGGAGGTGGGTTGCAGAGTTGTTGCAGCAGGCAGGGTAGGCAGGAGAGGCAGTTTAAATAGGGCGCCATTTTGACATTAGCCAATAGGATGTGAAAAAGGTGATTACCTGAGCTGTCAGCTGACTGAGGGCTGGCTTAAGATCAGCTGACTGTAGCCTTTAGCTTGACTCCGTGACCTGCATGAACTACCGCTATGCCTTATAAATAACACATTTTCTCAATGTATCCATGACTCAAACATACACCCAATTAGAGGATCATTGTGCTTCAGGCACAAACACACTTGTCTGTCATGTCCGAGGACTGTGCAAAAACTCTTTCTGATGACAAAGTATTGAGGAGTTTCTGAAGGGAGTGTGCACTTACACTAAGAGCAGTGCTTTGGTTGGAGTTTATTAGATGATTTGGTAGAGCTGACCCTGTCTGCAGCAGTTGATGGCCTGTTCCAGTTCAGTGACAAGTTTTGCATCAACAGAATCCAGCAGTTCAATAAAATGTGACTTATTGCCTGACTAAAACTGGACTTTTCAAAAACATGTAAACACATTAGTCCATCTAAAATAACACCGCACTGAACTTTTCATTGTCAGACTTACATACCTGGATAATTCGGTTAGGATTTGATTTTCCTTTGTCATGAATACATCCCAATCAAACTGAAACTGGCTCAGGGCTTTGAGTCAGAAGCTGAATAGTATGGATGCATTGCCTTTAATACTTGATCCACATAAATCCCCCTAATCTGGGTTCTAAGAAACATTAACTCTTATCCTTTTTCTACACCACTGCTTTCCACAAAGTGTAAATCATATAAGACTGGCACTTGAAACTAGTTTCCCCCTTCTGTCAGTATTAATGCTTGTGGTGTGAAAGCAGTGTGAACCAAAGTGTGCTAATTTTTTTTCCACTGGCTCTGTATTGTAGCTGTTCAGAGGCTGTGACATCTACAGCAGGACCCCTATGTCAGGTTAGGAAGTGAATGTAGTACATGACTTTTGAGAAACTGAAGGAAAACATGTCAAGCCTGAGTGAAGTCGTGCCACTTACCACCTTTGCACACAATTCCCCCTCGTTTTGCTCAGCTTCAATGTCTGTGCAAAGAAACATCATCTAAGTCCTGTTTTTCTTTTGCATTAGAATCTTTGACATCATCCATCTTTATAAAGTTCATTATCAAGATGTTTTCCTAGACCGTCGTTAATCTCGCATCAATCACAGGAGGTGATTGATGTGACCTGCCACTGCTAAAACTTCTGCCTGATCCCTGTCATTAATCTAGATTTCATGTGGCGTCATCCCTTTGCCTCTTTCTTCTTTAACATCACTGCCACGAAACCAGTAGAAGCGGCAGACACCAGAAATGAAGACAAATAATTTTTTTTAAATTGCAAAAAGACACTTTGTACATCAGCAGGCGTAATCCTCTGTGCACACTGTGAATGTGTTGAGGAAGCACACTGAGAGTTGGTTTCATTATCGTGGAGCATGCTTCGGTTGTGTCACTGAGTCTCAGCAGAGATGGATGTTTTTTGAATTTGATTTGGCTGGTAATGAACTGTGAAGGTTCATTACCAGAAAGATCAATGGAGACAAAAATCCACTATTTAGAGAAGGGTCTTGATCTACAATGCAAATCCCAAAGTTTACCCATTTTAAGCATAGCTCCGAGGAGATATTAATCACAGTCGGCTCCCAGGAGCATTAATTCCTGTCTTATTTTCCACCCATAAAGCACCTCAGAATAGGAAGACACAGTATATATTTGGAGATTAAATCTGCCTCCCACTGCTTTTATGCATCTTTCAGAGACTAAACACACTTGCCCAGGATAACTAGACTCACTCGCAGTTTGTCATTTCCTACCTACACAAAGAAGAACAAATTCTGGTGCAGCAGACCATCCATCTCACCAGGCGTTCCTCTCATGCAGAAAAATGCAATTTCCAGTCCACGGTGGCTTCCTCTGCACCAGTCGATACAATTACATGTTTATAAGAGGAAGTCACTGTTTAACCCTGAGCTTTCATTTGCAACATGGTGCTTTGGTTATAGGCCCATCTCTATCCATGAGATAAACAAGCTGATTCTTAAAGACCGGGATTTCTGTTTTCTACAACAAACTGCCCGAGCCCAAATTAGTGTTTGACGCTTTAGATATTGGAACTTATAAATTTACTTAATTTGATTAGCACTCTAAAGGATAGTAGGTAATATGATCTTCCGTGTAATTTTGATATCTTTATCAGTATTACCAGACTGACCAGAATATGAGGCAGGGTGTTTGTTCTTGAAATACAGTTGGAAAAGCTGTGATCGTTGTTCTGTCTCCAATGTGCAGTGTGCATGTGTTGACAGGCAGCTAAACTCTTAAACTCTTTACTTTATTGATGAAGTAAAGTGTCACACTAAAAGAGAAAAACAAGTAACATAATCATGAATATTGCATTTATGGAGATGCATAAACAATAAAATAAACAATTCCACATCTGTGAACCATCCAAAGCCTCGCATGGCTAACTAAAATAGCTCACTCAAAGTAGGCTAAATACATGTGAGACACACAATTACACAAATAGGTACACAATGTAATATTATGCCACTGAAGGCATATAACCATTAATTCACGTGTAAAGACTTACCGACAATGCGACTCGTTGAAGATGTATGCCCAAGTGGCCAGTTGTAGCTAGAAGCTGGCAAATGTGCTTCTCTGAGGTTCTTTGTTTGTTTGTTAACTGTCACTTCCTGGATAAAGGTTTTATTCAACATTGACAAAGCCTTACCGCTGTACCAAAATCGGCCAGTAGATGGAGGTACTGGTATTAAACTCTCACTCATTTTTTAACTCACTCAAATGAAACACTGTGAAATATATGAAATTAAACATATCAAATCCTTTTTTTAACTGATTTTAAAATTTATCTGAATCGTATGAATTAAACTGAACAATCATCTTATATTTGGGGTTTAGTAACTACACCCACTAAGTTTGACACTTGGTATGACTTAGTGACTTAAAGGCTGCACTTGAATGTAGGTGGATAAGGATTTGGAAATCTTTGTTTTCTGTTTTTATTCACATTTTACACTAAGTCCCAACTTTACTGAAAATGGGGTTTGTATCTATTTTATGCAAACTGTCCTTTTTTTTGATGGAGGTGGTCCTGGCTGAATGTACTCTCTAGGTATTGCTGGCTCCATAAGTAGATTAACAAGCAGACAACCTAACACATTAACTTATAACAAACAACTTAGAAACTAGCACATATCAGCTCTGTCCCCAATTCTGGGAGAGGACTCTTTGAAATAATACAGCCTCCATAAACTGCATAGACTTTACAGGCTAAACTGACATGTGCATAGGACATTGTTTTAAAACAAAAGTATTTAAGTATCCTATTTAGTATAAAGATGAACATATGTTTAATTGGTAGAGTTTGAAGTGTTGAAGTTTCCCTAACAGAGACAGTGGGCTTCAAATAATAATGAACCAGTCATATTTAATTTGTGAGACTATATACATACAGTGATTGTTCAATAGGAGTTCAGGCAAAACCTTAGTTAAATTTTTTTTATTAAAGAGATTTATTCACATAATATGAATAAATGTTAATCAAATGTAGTGCTCTGAGTGTTATTTGCACATACACATCACTAGCTGCATCCAAGGCTGGAAATCTGCTCTTTTTATCCCTCCTGTTAGGAGGCGACAGCCTCTTGAAATGAAGGCTGAATGAGTACACACTAAGTACATGTGCTCAAAAGGTTTGGTAGCTGTGTAAAAAGAAACAAAAATGACTTAAGAAAGTAATCTTACTTGACTCCAAGCTGAGCAAGGTCAAACTACATTTAACTGTTTGAATAAAGATCACACTTAATCTGCTCTGAGAGAAAGAGCGATATTATTTTGCTGCTTCAGTGCAGAGGTTACTGTTAATCAGATGAGAGCAAGAGCTGCAGCAAATCTAATGTGGTTCCTACTGAGAGGCCACCGCTAAAGGACATCTCAAACGTGTTAAAAATACTCCAGAGCACCATAAAAGGAAAAAGAAATATCAAAGAGAAAAACAAGAAACACAAATCAAGAGTTAATCACCCTGAGTGATTTAATGACATCTGATAATGAGAGAAAACTACATGAGAATGAAAGCAACAAGTGTCACTTCACCCTTCCTATTAAGCATTTTAATTCCCTGTCTGCCTCATTTTGTGAGATTTGTGAGACTGAGAGTAAGAGCAGAAATAGGAACCTTAACAAATTTTTATGATTTTCTTTTTAAGTTTAATGTACAAATCTGTAAAGAGATACAACAAAAGTTTAACTTTATAAACCACTAAAAGTTTGAATGCTGACTACAATACTTGTAGTCACCATAGTTAAACTCACTCCTGTTGGTAAAGAGGTGCTGGCCTCTGAGGACAATAAACTCCTGTAATGGACGAGTATGATCCCTCATTTCCCCATCTGAAACATCTACTAATGCTAATATATATGCACATAACTTACAGTCAATGCACTTTATGTGTCTGCTTGCTAAATACAAAAATGCAAATGGTACTAGTTTGTCCTTTCTGTGACACAGTAGAAACTTGGGATGCAATACAGAGGGTGACCTACTCCTAAAAGGCTTATTCTAAGTCACCAAAAAACAAATGTTGTTTTTTATATTCAGGTGATTATACACTAATTCATAAACATACCAACAAATGATATATTCCATGTCTACATCTCTGTATTTCTAAAGGCTGCTAAAAAATACAAACTGTACCTTTAACTTCTAAAATCAAAAGAGATTATGGGTCTAAAATGACAGGAATGATAAACCCTTATATTGGCCCTCCCTTTTCTTTTTCTGCACAACAAAATCCTCCTCTGTAAAAGTGAGACGGCTAATAAAGTGAACAAAACTAGTCCTTACATTTTCTCATGAGTAATAAAGATTTTTTTTTTTTTTTAACTTAGAATCCATGTGGGGATGGGTAGGCACTTGTTCAGTTCACCAAACCGTCTGAATTTTATTCTATTTTATTTTTATTTTTTGGAAAGAAGTTTGGAGTACTTATTTTAAGTAGCTCGAGTTAACAGGTTTGATTAATCAATTGCTCTCTTGTTTGGCCTTGAAGTATTTTCACTTCTTGCAACATATTTGCAGCACTGTTGGGTTGCTGTAAAAACTTTCCAAATGCAGACTTTTTTTTCTGAGGTATCAGTTCTTAAAAAGTATAAAAAAAAAAAAAAACTATATAAAGTGTCTACCAGCTGTGTGTTCGCATAAAACAACTCGAAACTCACTAATACTAATACTTGGCACACATGCACGCCCTGCAGTGCAGCTTGTGTCTGGCACATATACTTTATAAACATATAAAACTTTATTTTTGAGGTGTGGTGGCTTTAATTTAGCCGTGCGCCATTACATGTAGGGGAAACCCTGCAGTTGATGTCAAATAGACCAGGCTGATGTGCCCACAGCTCCACCACACACTCCTCTTTTTGGTCTGTCCACTTGACGTTTTATTGCCAGCAATTCTTCATACATTTTTATCTTTTTTTGACTGTCAGGTGTCCTTTTCCACTTTTGTCAGAGCTCATCTGTTGGTTGCTGGTTGTGTTACGTCACTGCAACTTGGGATAATATCTGACACATTTGATATTATCGCAAACCCAAGACTAGGAAAAGTCTGATGTAAAACAACGCAGATTAATATCTTAAATTTAACGATCGAGATGATAGGAGTGCCCTGTGACTCTGCTGTGACTCTAGTAAAACTCCAAGCAATTTGATTAGTGTGGATTTAGTTAAACCAGATTAGTCTAGTCCTGGTTTTATTTAAGCCCTGTATGGGTAACTGGGCCCTGTATGTTTTTATGGATATGACTTAAACTAATGAAGTGACTCCTCAGAGAGCAAAACACCATGACAATGCCACTGACTGAGCCACAGCCATACTTTTTCACATGTTTTCCTGTATTTTTCTGTTTGTACTCTCTTTTGCAGCTATCTGAGTGTGTGTGTGTGCGTGCGTGTGTGCAGGATAGGTGTGGCGCTCCTGGTTCCCAGCTCCCAGCTCTGTGATTGCTGCTGATCACTCTCACCTGCTGTTGATCACTCACAGCTGCAGATTATCTACCCCAGCTCTCCACTCACTTGTTGCAGTAATGATGCTCCAGCCACTCTGGTAGCCTCACTGGCTGTTTTCTCTCCTAACAGCCAGTGTGTGTCTTTGCCTGTGTTTGCTTCATCATTCACAAAGGCTGCAGCTGAACCCTGATTTCAGAGGTGCTACTGTGCATGAACCAAGTTTGTTATCCTCATCATAGGTTTACAAGGTAAGTTGGATTCATCGTGTTTGAAGGTAAAGAAAGTACATGATGTGTCTGCAGTGTCAAGTCATTTTTCATGGGATAAATATTGGTAAAATCTTATAACTTCTGTTTGCTGTAGATGCGAAAAACTAAGCCTACAGCAAACAAACTAATGTTCAGCAGATATGTTTATCATGTACATCACTTTTGTCAGGCATTAAGCTTACATGCCATCACCCCATTAAAATAATGGCCCGAGTCATTTTTTGACGAAAATGAGTTTTGGTCCTAAATCATCTTTTGATAATGCTGGCCATCCCTGATAAGTCGCCTAAATCCTTAGTTCAAAGGATCATGCCATCATCCTTTATGAACAAACAGAGCAACTGTGGAGGCCGAGTGAGGGCACGCTGTGGAGGGTGAGCAGGAAGGGACAAGTGAGGCCTGGCCAAACCCAGGACCGAGAGGAAGGTTTCCAGCAGCAGAGATGATAATACTCAAGGGGATCAGTTTAGGTTACCTTATAGTTATATTTCTGCTGTCCTTTTTGAGCTGCTGTAACAACAGAATTTGTTACCCCTAAGCAGATCAATAATGTATATATTATCTCTTATCTTACGTAGTGTTGTTGTTATGTATGCATGCATGACTGATTTACACTGAACATTTTTTTATGAGCTGAACTCAAAGATCTAAGACTTTTTCTATGTTCACAATAGACCTATTTCTCTCAAATATTGTTGACAAATTTGTCTAAATCTGTGTTAGTGTACATTTCTTCTCTGCTGACATAATCCATTCACTTCACAGGTGTGGAATATCAAGATGCTGATTAAACAGCATGATTATTGCACAGGTGTGCCTTAAGGTCCTTACACACCGGGACTGATGCAAATCTACGACGCGAAATATTCGGAAGCGAATTTCGACGCGCCTGACTATACACATCAAGCCCGATGCGATTTTGCGACCTTCCGGGGGGTAAAAAGGCGCGTCCCAGGTGGAAGCTGGAAGACTGACACAACACCAGACTGACTGTTTTTCAGTTCTGATTAGACACTAGTGTTGAGATGGCTGTCTGTTACAATAGCATGTACTGAATCGGGGCCTGTACCAGATAAGCACATGAATCTATAATCCGTAAACGTAAGGTAACAACCGAGACCTAATGGTGCTGTGACAGCAATGCGATTGAGTTTGAGACAGTGAAAATACATATGGTATGTTGTATCTGAACAGGTTAGCTTACAAGCTAAAGTTACCTAGCACAGATGAAAGTTAAAACAAAGACGTTTAGCAAACTGTTAAAGCACACAAACCATCGTCATATCAGAAATCCGACGCTATGACTCTAAACAAGTTGTCCTTCAGGTCATTATCTTTTTAATGTTTGTGTCTTTTATCAAAAAGCACTCTGTTCTCCGACACCTCAATAATTAGCTGGTCAGCCATGTTGGATATACTGGTGAATCTGACGTCGTAACAACATGAAATCTGATTGGTCAGAAGTGGACACACAGTATGCAAAACTTCAGAAAAATTGACCTTGATACGAAAAAATAAATGCCTGAATACCACACGTTCCCAGTGTGAAAGGACATTTAGACTGGCCACAATAAAGGCCACTGTAAAAGGTGCAGTTTTACTGTATTGGGGGAGTCCGGGGGGTAAGAAAAAGTCAGTATCTGGTGTGACCACCATTTGCCTTCCGCAGTGCAACATATCTCCATTGCATATAGTTGATTAGGTTGTTGATAGTGGCCTGTGGGATGTTGGTCCACATAATGCACTATAACTATGTAATTAAATTTAACTATACTTCATGTTTATTTCTGTTTCTATTCTATCTCCGCTTTAATGATAATGCCCTTCTAAAATGTTTTCATGGTGGTTAAGTCTTGCACTTCTGTGCATAAACGAGTGATATAAATAAACTTGCCTTGGGTTACCTCGCTTCTTCTTTGCCTGAAGCCAGGGTCCAGGCAATGTACTGTATGAGTCGTTGGCCTCCCACACCATCACCACGCTGTCTGCACCCGAGGAGGATCAAGAATTTCTTCATTACCCCAAAGAGCACCTTATAATATTGCCAGGAAAAATTATAAGAAAGTGGCAACAATGTGCATTAAAACATCAGATGAAATACAATCATTCACAACCGCCGTAGTCTTTTTAAAAGGTGGGTGGTAGAGGGAGCACATAAGGTTTCAAGTCTATCGGTAGTGTCTCCATGACAAACTGCAGCCAGACTGAAGACCTTAAAAACAGAGCAATTAAGGCCAGCAGAGCTAGACTGGACCTCCTCCAAGGTCTTTGTCCCATACAAGTCAGTAAAAGTAGATTCCGTCTGTGCTGCTTTTAAGAGTAAATAAGGACAAACTCAACTGCACATGAACAAATTATTGTCTCAAACATCACAACTCTTCAGGTTATAGACCCACTCTGATAAAAATCATGTTTTTCTTGTTGTCTACATGTTCATATGGCATTTTTCTGATGCTACAGAACATATAACGAGAAAACTAAGTGCAAAATTGCATTTCTGCATTAAAATGAGCCTTATCAAATCTCTGCTGACTCACGTCCTACAGGTTTTGGCAGATTATAAAGGCATTACTCTAACTTGTGCTTTTTTTTTTCTTGCAGGTCTAATGGAAAATAAAAACCTGTATAAGATTGGCTTGTACTTGTTGGGTTATTGAACAGTGCAGACAGTTCCTTGGAAAGCCTGGAAAAGAGAAAGCATGGTAGAGGCAGTGTGACAGGGCTGAGGCAGTGTGACAATGGCTGCGCTCATAACAACCTCAAAAACAGAGATGACAAATAAACAAAGCAGAGGGCGGAAGAGGAACCCATGTAAGCACAGGAACACAGCTCACCTCGGCTCGTTCAGCGGCTCTGTGTCCTCTCTCCCATTATTTGCCAAGTGGGATCCATGTATTCCCAGAGCCCATCAGCTAGCTTTTGTCAACAGACATGGTGGCTGCCTCTGTGTTGATGGAGAGAGCTAATGCTGTTCTGTAGTGTTCTCACACCCTCCCCGTTCCTGCTAAAAAGACCTCAGTGATTACTTAGTGATCGCATGGCAGGGCAAAAGCTGGAGCAGTGACAGTGGCCTGATCTCAAGACTTCACCTTAAAAGCATAAGCACTGAACGCTCAAACACATTAATGACAGGTGTGCACAGCATGAGTATCTAAGCAAGGGAATGAGTACACTTCCTGGTTCTACACAGCCTTCTCCAACACTTATGTCTCATCTCTTTGTGAAGCATAAACCAAAAACTGCTTTAATGTTTACAGCAGTTAAGGCTCTAAAAATGACTAAATACAGTTTTGTTTGTCCCACTGGTGAGCCATATTCTCTGTTAAAACAATAAACATTCTTCTGGGACAAAAGCAATTACTGAAACTAGGGCCCCGGTGGGGCACTGTCGGGCCCGAGCCGCGTCGCGCCGCCCCCAGCGCGACCGCCTCCCCCTCCCAATCGCGTCACACTCAAGGTCCAAAGATGGTGTGCGCACTTGTCTGTAGTCATTTCCCATTATAATGAATGGGAGGCGCAGTTTCTACCAAAACACTCGCTGCAGACAAACTTCTTGTCCTATTTGAAAAAAGTCTGGACCATGAGTGAGGGCACAAACACAGCTGGGATATATATCCAAATGGCAGGTTGCTGTGGGGAATGTGGATTCTTTTAATAATGTGGATTTTTGGGTCATCTTTGGCGCCCCCTAGAACGTAAACCGTGGGGTGCAGCGTCATGATTTTTACAACTTTGAATGGCCATGGGGTGTAGATTGGCCTGAGCAAATTTGGTTTCAGTGGGACGAAAGCCTTAGGAGGAGTTAGCCACATTCCAATGTGTGCGAATCGGCAAAAAATGCAAAATAGCCCTCTAACCATATATTTGACAGATACGCGTGCATTGACTTTTTCGTAGATCTTATTGAGATACACGTGATTGTCAAATTTTGTGTCAATATGACAAAGCGTACAGGTGTCACACTCAACAATGTGAATTTTCACCTTACGGGACAAGAAAAAATTGACTTTTTTCTCCTGCCATGGGGGGGCGCTCTTTTGGGGAGTAAAAATTCCTTCACAAATGTGTTGATGGCTGGACATTGCATCATCCTAGAAAACTTGGAGGCCAGTGAGGACAAAAATAAAAAGTTATAAGACTTTGAAATATGTGGATTTTAGGGTTATCTTTGGCGCCCCCTAGAACCTAAACCGTGGGGTGCAGCGTCATGATTTGAATAACTTTTAATGGCCATGGGGTGTAGATTGGCCTGAGCAAATGTGGTGCCGGTGGAACGAAAGCCTTCGGAGGAGTTAGCGAAATTCCAATGTGTGCGGATCGGCAAAAAATGCGGAATAACCCTTTAACCGTACATTTGACAGATACGCGCGCATTGACTTTTTCGTAGATCTTATTGAGATACACGTGTGTGTCAATTTTTGTGTCATTTTGCCAAAGCGTACAGGCATGACACTCAACAATGTGTATTTTCACCTTAGGGGTCAAGAAAAAATGGACTTTTTTCTCCTGCCATGGGGGGGCGCTCTTTTGGGGAGTAAAAATTCCTTCACAAATGTGTTGATGGCTGGACATTGCATCATCCTAGAAAACTTGGAGGCCAGTGAGGACAAAAATAAAAAGTTATAAGACTTTTAAATATGTGGATTTTAGGGTTATCTTTGGCGCCCCCTAGAACCTAAACCGTGGGGTGCAGCGTCTCAATTTGAATAACTTTTAATGGCCATGGGGTGTAGATTGGCCTGAGCAAATGTGGTGCCGGTGGAACGAAAGCCTTCGGAGGAGTTAGCGAAATTCCAATGTGTGCGGATCGGCAAAAAATGCGGAATAACCCTTTAACCGTACATTTGACAGGTACGCGCGCATTGACTTTTTCGTAGATCTTATTGAGATACACGTGTGTGTCAATTTTTGTGTCATTTTGCCAAAGCGTACAGGCATGACACTCAACAATGTGTATTTTCACCTTAGGGGTAAGAAAAAATGGACTTTTTTCTCCTGCCATGGGGGGGCGCTCTTTTGGGGAGTAAAAATTCCTTCACAGATGTGTTGATGGCTGGACATTGCATCATCCTAGAAAACTTGGAGGCCAGTGAGGACAAAAATAAAAAGTTATAAGACTTTTAAATATGTGGATTTTAGGGTTATCTTTGGCGCCCCCTAGAACCTAAACCGTGGGGTGCAGCGTCTCAATTTGAATAACTTTTAATGGCCATGGGGTGTAGATTGGCCTGAGCAAATGTGGTGCCGGTGGAACGAAAGCCTTCGGAGGAGTTAGCGAAATTCCAATGTGTGCGGATCGGCAAAAAATGAGAAATAACCCTTTAACCGTACATTTGACAGATACGCCCGCACTGACTTTTTTGTAGATCTTATTGAGATACATGTGTGTGTCAATTTTTGTGTCATTTTGACAAAGCGTACAGGCGTGACAGTCAATAGTGTGAATTTTCACCTTAGGGGGCGCTATGGAGCCATTTTGCATTTTCTTGTTTGGGCGACTTCAGAAAATCAAATTTTTCACCAGGCCCGGTCGTCCTGCCAAATATCATGAGTTTTCGCCAGTGGGAAGTGGGCCATTTTCCAGTTCAAAGGGGAGGAAAAATAACTAGGACCCCGTTGGGGCACTGGCGGGCCCGAGCCGTGTCGCGTCCCCCCCCCCCAACGTGCTGCCTCCCCGTCCCATTTGTGTCCTCTGGCCATCGCCCTCTCTGGTAACGCCCATCATTGCAAAGACCCTTTTCCTTCATCGGCGTTTGCTGTTCTTCCTGCCAGTGCGTGTTGCTTTCACTTACACTTGCCACAGCCAGCCTCGTGAGTGCCTAGCCTATTGGATATCACTGTCACCTACACAGGACAGTCATTACCTTTCTATTAATACTTTGTGTTTTAATTTCACATTAATTTCCATATTGTATAAACGACTGGAAAAAACTTGAGCCCCTGCCCCTGTATAATCATGTGCATGTCTCTGTTCTAGCTCCAAGGTGAATCTTCACTGCTCATGTTCTCCTCAGAAGCACTCACCTCACTCCCCTCAGGTTACTGTACACATGCACCAACTGCCTGCTTCAGGTTTGGATGGAGCTTCATGGTTGTCTTTTGGAGAAATGACCAGTCAAGTTGTGTTTGAAATTTGATTTTTTTCAGGGGCAAAAGGAGCCTCTGCATTCTTGTCAAATATGTAAATAGCATGTTTTTGCAGGTGCTAAAAAACAGACTCTGAGTGTGTGTGTGTGTGTGTGTGTGTGTGTGTGTGTGTGTGTGTGTGTGTGTGTGCGTGTGTGTGTGTCTGTGTGTGCGTTCAAGTCACATGACATATTTAACCGGATGTAGCTGCAAGACGGAGCCTCGTTGACTCTCCGTTTCAACTTATCTCAAAAGTGAGGACCTCAACCTATATACCAGTTTTTAAATTGTGTTGATAGGCCAAATAAAACCAGAGTTATGATAAATTATGTCCGCGATATTTTTTTTCTGCTTATTTTGATCACGTTCGGCGCTCGATCGCGCTGTATGAGACAGGAAAACATAGCATGCAGACATTAGCGACAGTTCTTACAGGCGGAAAAGGCTTGCCAAAAGAAAAAAAAAACACACCACAACATCTCTCCTATTGGTGGAAAACTTCACCACAACAACCAATCCAAAATTATATGGTGACTGATTGACAAGGGGGGGGCGCTTACGTTCTTCCTGCAACATGAGAAGGGAGGGAGGGACTCTCAGCAGGGATGCAGTCTGGGACACGTAGTTGCAAACCTAGCGACTTTGTTGTTAGATTCAATGACTTTTCAGACCCCCTAACGACTTTTTTTTAGAAAGAAAGGGACTTTTATCGACTTCTTCTGGAGTTTAGAGACTCTGACATGAAGCAGGCTTTCCATACTGAGGAGTTAGCAACGCTGCTAAGGGTGCAGAGCCACACATGCGCTCAGAGCTCTGCATGGGAGACTGAAGCTGACAGAGCTGCAGCAGTTAGCAGGTTTCACCCTCAGAGACCACCACGGGTTCATGTTGAGGCATTAAAATTTTTTTTTTTTTTTTTGTGCCATAGACACTGTCAGCACAATCTGCAGTTACACTAACAAAAATGCTGCAAAAAACAAAGAATTATGGAAAAATTACACATGGACTGACATAGAGGAGGATCTACACAAGTTTTTTACATCATGTTTTACATCATGCATCATTTACATCATGTTTTTTTGTAGTGGCATAAATAAAAAGTGACATTTGTGAGACTATACAGTGTTTTGTAAATAATTTTACAAAGAACGCCTGGGCCATTGCCTGCATTTTGATGTAAATAGAGGTAAATTACTATGTTCTTTGTTAAAAATTTGCATATGTTTTGAAGTTTACAATTTTTATTTGAAGTTTAAGTTTTAAAAACAGTTCATCACACATATTTGTGGTTTAATTTCACATTAATTTCCATATTGTATAAATGACTGGAAAAAACTTGAGCCCCTGCCCCTGTATAATCATGTGCACGTCCCTGTTCTAGCTCCAAGGTGAATCTTCACTGCTCATGTTCTCCTCAGAAATAGTCACCTCACTCCCCTCAGGTTACTGTACACATGCACCAACTATCTGCTTCAGGTTTGAAATGGAGCTTCATGGTTGTCTTTTGGAGAAATGAACAGTCAAGTTGTGTTTGAAATTTGATTTTTTTCAGGGGCAAAAGGAAGCCTCTGCATTCTTGTCAAATATGTAAACAGCATGTTTTTGCAGGTGCTAAAAACCAGACTCTGAGTGTGGGTGTGTGTCTGTGTGTGTGTGTGTGTGTGTATGTTGGCGTGTGTGTATATGTGTGTGTATCCTGCAGTACTCTGTACTCCTGCAGTGGCCAAAAAGACTTTTAAGAATGTGGATTTTTGGGTCATCTTTGGCGCCCCCTAGAACTGCAGTACTCTGTACTCCTGCAGTGGCCAAAATGACTTTTAAGAATGTGGATTTTTGGGTCATCTTTGGCGCCCCCTAGAACGTAAACCGTGGGGTGCAGCGTCATGATTTTTACAACTTTGAATGGGCATGGGGTGTAGATTGCCCTGAGCAAATTTGGTATCGGTGGGACGAAAGCCTTAGGAGGAGATAGCCACATTCCAATGTGTGCGAATCGGCAAAAAATGCAAAATAGCCCTTTAACCGTACATTATACAGATACGCGCTCTTTGACTTTTTCGTAGATCTAATTGAGATACACATGATTGTCAATTTTTGTGTCAATATGACAAAGCGTTCAGGCGTGACACTCAACAATGTGTATTTTTATGTAAGGGGACAAGAAAAAATTGACTTTTTTCTCCTACCATGGGGGGCGCTCTTTTGGGGAGTAAAAATTCCTTCACAAATGTGTTGATGGC